TCAGAGATTTAAGGAATAGCAGCTGGAAAAATGTATTTGGACAAAGTTTCACTTGGTTCATAATCTGGAGGATCTCTAAGAAAATTGCATCATAAATATATATTATTTGGTATCTGAAGTAATAACAGGCAAAACATCCCATCTTTTCAAAACAGTGGAAATTCTGGCTCCAAGCTGCTTTCTCTGGATCAGAACCATCGTAAAACCATAGCTACATTTTTACAATGAACTAAAATTAGAAATAATTTACAGGACAGTGAAAAKATATGTTTGCAACGTCCCGCTTTCTGTGGAGTTTCTGCTAAAGGATCATTCATTTTTAGCTCAGTAACAAACACTGATCCTTTGTATTAACATCAGCGGTTCAGTCATTTAAAGAGCAGTAATTATGTGTTGTTTGGGYTTGACCTCTCTCAAACACTGTTTGGCAAAAGGGAAACAGCGTAATTATTCTGTATTGATCTGGAGAAACATCAATTATGCTGCAGTTCTGGGAAAAATCGGGAGCAACGGCAAATTGCAGAGCTGTGATTTGATAAGTGGTTCAGCACTGAGGCTGTGACGGCTGACTGAACTCAACTGCAACTCTGATCCGACACATTTGTATTTCAGTCATTTGTTAAGCCTTCAGCAGCATTTTGTTCAAATATTTAATTTAGCTACTTTTTTATATCAACTATAACCACAGAAGATTTATTTCAGAGCCCTGYTTTCGTGTGTTCATATACAGATGGATCAAAGCTGCAGTCAAGCCTGAAATATGAAGACTGAAGYTCACAATGAGATTCATCTGAATGCCCTATAAAACTGCTCACGCATCATTTGTTACAAATTTCCATCCATACTGTGCACAATGTCAATATGTATTTCTGTCACGTATTGCCTCAGTGCATCGGTGGAGTGGACATAGACTCTACAGAGTAATAACTAAACAGACATGAATTTGAAAAGTCCTGTCCACGCTGCAGCCACATGTGCAGTAACTTCCTGTTTCTCTCTGGAAACCAACAGAGATCTGCTCAGTGCTGTGGCTCCAGCTCGTCAATCCTCTGGGGAACAGCGCCTACTTAAGCCCCTATTTAAGATTAGTAAAATTGTATAAATATACATATTATTTAGCAAAACTATATCAATTAAATTTTTTTATTGTTTTAGTATGTTTTAATCTAATGTTTTTGGAGTGGATTGTGATTACATTATGTCTACATTATCACCTAGGCTTATTGACATATTCACATTCACATACAACACTCACTAGCTTACCCCCACACATAGTTTTGTTTTTTTATTACTACTATCATATACTTTAATTGTTTTATTACTCTTAGGAGATACTACAGCATAGAGACRCATTCTGCTGTTTAAATWTGAATATATCTGCACAAATACACGAAAMAGTAACTGTTCCTGTTTCTTCATATCGTCTTAATACCATTGAATTATTTTTTTTTATTATCTCAGAGCTGGAAACGTCCCAAGATTTAGTGTCAGAAAATCTGGTCACCRTAATGCACACACAAGGCACACTAAATTTAGTTGAAGCTATTTGGTCCTTTAATGGTTTCCAACGTTAGCAAAAATCTGCTAAAGCTCTGTTGTTTTTTCKTTTCTGCATTTTAAAGACATCTATATTGTCTTTTTTATTTCTAATAACTCACTTATCTTGTGAACCARCTGAACTTTGACCAGAATAAAAACCCATGGGCTCAAATGGTTTTTCTATAAAACAGCTTTATTCCACCACACGTCAGCACAAAGTAATGGCTGAGCGAAACACGGCGGAACAGAGCCATCAGTCAGTTTGTGCAGGAGACACCTCCGCAGGAGAACAAAATGTCAATCACWCTGAGATTGTGCCTCTGCAGCAACACCACCCAGACTTCGGCTGATGGACCTCGGCCAAATAACTACTTGGGTCTGGATCAGCAAAAACCTGCGGAAAATGGTTTCAGTGAGCATCACAACCTGCTGCCAGGGATAAATCCAAAAAGGCCTGCAACACAAAACAGTAAAAAACAGATTTTCTATTCTTGTTTAAAATAGAAATAGTTTACAAAAAAAGGGAGCAAAATGAAGATAAGAGCCCCTAGTATAAAGATAAAAATGAGAAAATGTACACACACACCTTCATCCCAGTGTTCATTTTTTGTCTTCCTGTTTCACTCATGCAAACATGTTTGGAATGTTGGAGCGCAAAAAAACCCACACAGGCTCAGAAAAAATAAGATCAATCTGCCAGCTCCTGCACAGCTGAGATTTGAACTCTGAAAAGAACAGAGCAAACGTCACAGTGGGCAAAACAACTCCTCTTTTAGTAAGAAACTGCACAGAGAACAAAAAGAGGAATGAATCACTGCACAAAAAGAGGTAAATGAGTCACAATGTGAACAGTTTGTGCCATAAAACGACAGAAATCATCAAAAAAGGTTAACTTTCTAATAAGACAACATGTTGCGGTCAAGCTTCACCACAACATTAAGATTAAATAATAAAATAAAGATTAATTTATGCATAAACTGTTTTATTTCCCTYTCTAAGCCTCTGATTGCTTGTTCATTTTCCTCTGAGGTCACCCAGATGTTTGAGATGTTGTAGCACAGAGAGTCAGATCTGACAGGAGAATAAATTAACTCCTGAATGTGTAAATAAGCTGCTGGTGTTGATGTGGAGGAGATGGATGTGTTTCAGTTCACCTAGAGGCAGGCTTTCCCCTCTCATTCGTATCAATTATTAAACACCCAGGAAGTTCTCTGCATCTGCTTCCATCTGATGGTTCATTCGCTTCCCAGAAGCCTGGCCTTTGTTGAGAGTCTCTTTATCATCCTAAAAAATGTTTTAACCACAACTCACCCCMCTCCAATCTCGTCCTCGGAGATAAGTTTTTCAAAGTGACTCACGCCAGCACACGACTAAACACTGAGCAAACACAGCTCATGGTTTACTGAAGATGACAACTTTGTGTTTAAAAGTTAAATACTTTTATGTGTGACTCTTTATGCTTAGAGAAGAATTTCTAATGAGATTAAAATGGTTTAAACAACCAAGCAACTCTTCAAAACGAGAAAAAAAAACATTATCTCAGTTTAACAGTAATAATGTCTAAGACCAATGTGTAAAATGTAAAATGATCATCTGATGTTTCCTAGAAAAAAACGAGTGGAGAATAAATAAACAAGCTTTAATCTGATTATGSAAAAAATTGTTTTCTATGTTTATATATGCATGCTCAGATTTGGAAAGAAAACATCTGCAGCAACAAACAGTCCCCAAAAAAAAAAACTGTTGATAGTAAGAGAAACTGCTAATTAAAGCAAATTGAAAGGTATGTTTATGTAAATTTGTGGCCCTTCTCTGTGAAAATCCTGTCTTTTACTTGTAAGCTGTCAATTATTACCTTTTAATGGTCTAAACACACTTTTAAAGAAAAGATCTATTATTTCAGTCAGTTTTAAATAGTGGTGGGCACAGTTCTGCTAATAGCTAGCAGGTATGTTAATGTATCGGTTAGAGTATTAGCATTTTTGCTAACTCTGGAAACCATTAGCGGAACAACTAGCTTCCACTAAGTTAGGTTCTGCTAACTTTAAGTCGAATACCAAAAACAACTGTCTCCTCTTGTATAGGTGTAGAAGCTTTAACAATTTCTCATTCGTGTTTTTAAATGTGATGAACGAAAAAATGTTTGAGTTTTTATTCAAGATTCTGATGTTTCAGTGCACACCACCACGTCTGCAGACCTTGAGTTAGCAGWTATTGCTAGCTTCCACTAACTTTTGTKACCTGTTTAGTAGTTAGCAGGTTGGCGGTTAGTGAAGCCAGCTTTTTAGTTAACTGTGCTCATCACTGGTTTTATAGCAGTGAAGGAAATTTTGTGTAATAATATTAACTGAACTTAACCGGACACATGCATTAAACATCAGGTCTTCCAAGGTGCCAATTATGGAACTCTCTGTGCATTGCTGCCCAAATCAAATTCTGGAAGTGGTCATTCAACTAGAT